TGTTTTTTTTTTTTTTACTTTGTATTCTAAAAAGAATCCTAAAACACGGTTTCCACGGTTTCCACAAAAATATTAAGCAACAAATATTTTCAGCATTGATAAGGGATGTTTCTTGTCAGCATATTCTTTTTTTTTTACTTTGTATTCTAAAAAGAATCCTAAAAAAAATGCATCACGGTTTCCACAAAAATATTAAGCAACAAATATTTTCAGCATTGATAAGGGATGTTTCTTGAGCAGCAAATCAGCATATTAGAAGGATTTATGAATAATCATGTGACACTGAAGACTAGAGTAATGAGTAGAGTACAAATTTAGCTTTGCCATCACAAAAATAAATTACATTCTAAAATGTATTAAAATAGAAAATTGTTCTTTTAAATTGTAATAATATTTAACAATATTACTGTTTTTTTTACTGTATTTTCGATCAAATAAATGCAGCCTTGTTGAAAATAAAAGACTTAAAAAATAATTAAAATAATTAAAATAAAATCTATGGCAAGGTAGTGTATACCAAGATAACATCATGTGACAACATTTCTTCCCATTAAAAGGCTCTAAAAGAACATTGTGGAAAGTTTTCTTAAGGGCAACAGCAAACAAAAGAAGGTGTGGACACCAGACTGGGTGGTTCTAATATGAGCAACACATGGTTTCAGCTTGGCAGAACTTTTTGGCTGTTGTATTTTGGGTTTCATGCCTGAATATTAAAATCACTCCACACTTTGGCTTATTGTCGGGTTACAATAAATGAGACAAAAGGTTACAGGTGGGCTGAAAGTCATTATTTAGAACCAAACAAACACTCCAATGGTTTGAGTTCCTAATCAAACTGAAATGCACATCATGGTTTCTATCATGCTCACAGACTCACTCGCACAGTATGACGCCATCCTTCAATCCCATCTGGAAGTTTTCTACGTTTGGCATGCCCGTTACATCCTCAATCCAGTGCCTCAGCTCGTCCTCCTTCTGCAGGTCGTACTTCTGAGCAATCTACAGGGCCCAGAAAGAGAGACTGAAAACTCTTGCTTCCTTAAACAGTTTCTCCATATGTTATCCAAGGCCTGCCATACAAAGAAACATTCATTTCAACAGGTCTTTCCTTGAAGTAAATTTTAGGGTTTTAGAATCAATATTAGACAATATCATATTTCAATTTCAGTTGCACGCCTTTTTTCACTTATATGACATATTGAAACGTAAGCTACCTATAGATACGGAACTAATTGTTAAGTTTTAACACTAATTTAGGTGTTAAACCTAAATAACTGTCTGGAACTGAGAACACGTGCATGAAACTTTTGCACAGTTTCAACAGGTCTGGTCTTGAATCAATTGTAAAGGAGTTGTAAAACATTCCATCAACCGAACAAATGAGGGTTGGCTCCTAACTTCAACTGAATGACATGCTGAATGTCTAAGGATCCAAAGAGGTGACAGGTTGGAGCATGTCTGTTTTTCCCTGACAATTCTGTTGTCCCTTTTAATAAATGTATGGCAATTGGGAAGTTTCCTTTGTATAAATTTTTTCAAAGATCTTAACATTCATATAAAAAGAAATACACTTTCAAAAGGCACAAAGCTTTGTCTGGCCCTTTTAGAAATTCTACATTACAAGTGGACAAATAGAGCATAACAGTAACCGCCCTCTTGGTTCAAGAGGTATTTTCTCCATTCACTTTCTCCACAGGCATTTCAAACAATTCTTCAATAAACAGTTCAAAGCCACGAACCATAGCAATTAACTATAGCACAACAAACTTTGATTTAAGGTAAAAAGAACATTTTAAAAAATTGCAAAAAATAAACTGATGTTACTGCAGAACACTAATAACTTCATTGATTTGAATAAATAATGAATTATTTGGTTGCAGCTCAGCTCTTTTGCCTTTATGTCCATGGCAACAGCGATTCCTCTAATTGGTGGATTTCTAGTGTAGTTATTTACTAGGATTTCAGCAATTAAACTTTTTTACATTTTAAAAAGGTAAAACACACTGACATATAGTCACGGAAGCTTCAAATAAAGATTTATACATTCTTCTTCAAAATCATTCTCTCTAAATGAAAATGAAAGGGATTTTCACTTTGGGAACAACTGTTGTGCTCTACATCCGGTTGTGATCTTTTACTTCAGCTGTCTGTCAACTTTAGGACAACAGGAAATGGGTCTGTGACGGAAACAATGGCAAACCACACAGAGGGCCCTCCAAGTGTCACCGTACTTAAAGACATCATTCTTTAAGGGTCTCCTGGTAGATATGAATGAACAACAGACGGATGACAAGCAGAACTTGAATTGAGACCATATACTGCATTATTAAAATACTATTGTAAAGTCTCAAACACAGAAAAAAAGAGATACTCATCACTTATAGCACAATGCCTCAGGCGTCACGGTTATCAATGTGGACATCTTTCTACACTACAACATAACACAACGCACATCATACATTGAAAACAAACCTCACCAGAGTAGGACAAAGCTGAAAACAGTCAACCTGTATGTTTCCTCCCATCTCACTTTACAACAAGGCTACTCTTGAGAGCTGATGGGCATTCTGTGCCTTTATATGTTGCTTTTCACAGCATCCCCAAACACTTTCCAAACTAAAATTAAATTTCCAAAAATGTGTATAAATTATTTACCAATAAATTGTTATAACTTCTGATCCTTGCATCAAAAGCTATTTATGATGGTGTACAGATGACAAATCAAATTACTTTTGCATATAAAAATTAGAGATGCCCAATATATAGGTACCGTATTTGTTATCAGACTTTATTAATGTTTTTAAGTTTACTATATTAGTGACGTGACATGTAGCCAAGTATGGTGTCCCATACTCTGAATTTGTGCTCTGCATTTATCCCATCCAAGTGCACACACACACAGCAGTGAGTAGTGAACACACACATACACACCGTGAACACACACCCTGAGCAGTGGGCAGCCATTTTTGTTGCGGCGCCCGGGAGCAGTTGGGGGTTCGGTGCCTTGCTCAAGGGTCTCACCTCAGTTGTGGTACTGAAGGTGGAAGTGTGCGCTGGTCATTCACTTCCAGCACCTACAATCCCTGCCAGACCCGAGACTCAAACCTGTGACCTTTGGGTTACAAGTCCAACTCTCTAACAATTAGGCCACGACTAAAAACCTTCATCGAACTGTGCCTTGTTTGTAAATGAATACACAGCAAAATAAAGTGAACAAATGACCAAGTTCTTACTGATGCAGTTTGGAACGTCATTAAAAATAAACTTCACCCACTGATCACTATTTCCAAATGTTGGGATCAGAAGGAAGGCAATGCAAAGACTGTTTTTCCCCACAGCTTGGCACTGCACAGCATCTTGTTGTCTTCAGGTCATCTTTATCATTTGATTGCTGCATAGACCTGCGTTTGCCTCTCTCGTTATTTACACTAAATAACGAGATGCGCAAATCGGTGTGCGGGGCTAAACAGGCAGTGATGTTGAAAGCAGGTGTTGATCTTCCCCTGCGGAGGCGGGGTTTAGCCACACGATTACATCATAAAGTGGCACATTCCACAACCTGTCGTTTAGGCAAATTGGCTTCAGTATTAGCCATTTTTAAGCTAAAGAGAAAGTTTTGAGTTCTGAAACTTACAGGATGTTTTTATAGTACAATATCCTCTTACATGTCAAAAGATCAAGGGAATTTTGATTTCTCAGTTCATGACCCCTTTAAATGTAATCTACAGAAAATCTCAATTAACATTCATCTTTCATACTGTCCTTTATAATGTTGTGATGGCTAATTTCACTTGGTGCATTTAAAACCAGATAGATTCTAGTATTTTTATTTTTCATTTAATTAGACAAAACGTTGTGGAATTGTTATAATGGGTATTGGCCAGATGTTTAACACTGGTGCACCCAGAGTTAAAATATCTTCAACTTCTCATAATACTCAAAGAGAGTTCAGAGGATTCGAGCACCAGAACCATTACAATGGAAGAAAGAAATGACTTTACAGCAATAGCAAGCAGTATTCACCAGAGAATATTTGCTGGAAAAACAAAAAAAACAAACCAATTTCCCACTAATATAAAGGGCCAAAAAAAAAATTGCACATGCAAAAACCACATGCAGCATCTCCGGCTGTTATATTGCTCTGCAACTAGGACATCGGTGGTGTCTTCACATCCAACTGTCCAACTGCAATTTTCTACACAATAGATTATGTTCCTGAGTGTATAGAGCAGTTCAAGAAAAAGGGAAAAAAAACCATGTAAGAGTGCATTGATACATTCTTTAACTTCCAGATATCGGTCCAAAGCAGAGAGTGAACTTCCTGAAGATAGAGAAAACAGGGAGAACATCTGTATTTGGCCATGTGAGAACAACATGTTGGGAGTTCTGCTAGTCTTAAGGACAAAATCATGTGGAGGGCAAAAACAGTGCATAATAAAAAAGAAACACTTGCAGGCATGTGTCATCACATTCTATTAGTTCTACAGCTTCAGTTTCAGAACTTTCATGCTTCGTAACAAATACAGCTGTTCCCTCAACACAGTGCAACAGTGAAAAAGGGAACCCTTTCAAACAGTGTCGCGTTCCGAACGTTGTTTAAGCGACATACACCGGTATTGCGGTATTTAAAAAATTAATATCATAAAAATAAACACCGGTATTCGGTATGAACCGTTATACCGCCCAGCACTAATCCTAGGTGTATAAGACTTTCTTCTTTCAGACGAATCCAGTCAGAGTTATATTAAAAATTGTCTTTGATCTTTCAAGCTGTTTAATG